TATATATATATTAATTGATTTTAGACAGAAAGGGAGAGGGAGAGAGAGAGAGAAACATCAAAATGAGTGAGAATCTTCAATCGGCAGTCTCCTCCTGCATGTCCCCCACTGGGAATGGAACCCACAACCTGAGCACATGCCCCTACTAGGAATCAATTCGTGACCCCTAGTTCATAGGTTGATGCTCAACCACTGAGTAACCCTGGCTGAGTTTATGACCCTTTTTAGATTCCACATATAATAAGAACATAAAGTATTTGTATTACTCTGTCTGATGTATTTTACTTAGCATAATGCCCTTCAAGGTTTATCCAAGTTGTTGCAAATGGCAGCATTTCCTTCTATTTTATGGCTGAATAATAAAAATATTATAAATAATATAAATTACATTTAAAAATATATATGTTCATCTGAAAACAGACACAGATTGTTTCCATGTCTTGGCTCCTATAGATATTACAGTAATTAACATGGGTGTGCAGATGTATCTTTAACATAGTGCTTTCATTTCCTTTATATATTCTCAGAAATGAAATTCCTATATCATATCATAGTTCTATTTTGAATTTTTTGAAAAACTTTATACTGTTTTCCATGTCAATTGTACCAATTTACAATCCCAACAACAGAGCAGCAGTGTTCCCATTTGTACACATCTTCATCAGCATTTCTTATATCTTGTCTTTTTTATGATAACCATTCTAACAGGCATAGAGTGATATCTCATTACGGCTTTGATTTGCATTTCCCTAATGTATAGTGTTGAGAAGTTTTTTATGTATGTATCTGTTGGCTATTCATATATCATCTTTAGAAAAATGTCTATTCAGGTCCTTTCACCATTTTTTATTTGATTTATTTTGATATTGATTTGTGTGGGTTCTTCATATATTTTAGATATTAACTCCTTATCAGATATTTGGTTTAAAAATATTTGTTTCCCATTCTGTAGGTTGACTTTTCATTGTGTTGATTGTTCCTTTTATTGTGCAGAACTTTTTTAGTTTGGTGTAGTCTTACTTGTTTATTTTTTATTTTCTTGTTTATGCTTTAGGTGTCATATGCAAAGAATCATTGTGAATAACCATGTGAAACATTTTTTCTTCTAGGAGTTGTATGGTTTCATGTCTTAAATTAAGTCTTTAATACATTTTGACTTAACTTTTGTGAGTGGTGTAATATAGTGGTCAAGTTTCATTATGTTAATTAGCTTGGTTTGGGTAATTATTTCATCATATACACATATATTAAACTAGTGGCCCAGTGCACAAAATTTATGCAGGGAAGGGGGGTTTCCCTTCAGCCCAGCCTGCACCCTCTCCAATCGGTCCTAAACCAGCAGTTGGGCATCCCTCTCACAATCTGGGACCACTAGCTTTTAACTGTTCACCTGCCTGCCTGCCTGATTACCCCTAATCCCTCTGCCTGCCTACCTGATCGCCCCTAACTGCCTCTGCTTGCCTGCCTGATTGCTCTTAACCCCTCTGCCTGCCTGCCTGATCGCCCCTAATTGCCTTTGCCTGCCTGTCTGATGACCCCTAACTGCCCTCCCCTGCCGGCCTGATCTCGCCCCTAACTGCCCTTCCATGCTGGCCTGATGTTGCCCCTAACTGCACTCCCCTACCGGCCTGATCTCGCCCCTAACTGCCTATGCTTGCCTGATCGCCGGGGTCTGGGGTGCAGGTGAATGGGATTCCTGGCTGGCAGGCTGCTGACAGCAAGCTATCCAACAGCCAATTCTGCAAGGAATGGGGCTCCCTCCTCCCTCCTGTCAGGGTCTGGTTTGAAGGCCAGCCACACCCCAAACCACATGAGACCCAGAGTTCTACCGTGGCCCGGCTGGATGGGGCCCACAGCCCCCTCCTGCCCCAGCGCCACAGCATCCCAGGGCCCACAGCCCCCCTCCAGCCATGATGCCACGGTGTCCTGGGGCCCACAGCCCCCTTGGTAGTCAGTGCTGGGTCGCTGTGGTGCCCATGTCAGCGGCAGTCAGTGCTGGGTCGCCGTGCCGCCATGGTTGCCCGGGACCCATGACTGACTTCCGTGGCGCCCACAGTGGCAGCAGTCAGTGCTGGGTCACCGCGGTGCCCGTGGGAGCCAGGAGGGAGGGACTGAGAGGTCAGCAGTTCAACCCACTTGCCAGTCCCCGCCCACCCAAGCCTGCTGCGTGCACAGCCTGGCGTTCGGTCGTCCGTTCGGTAGTTTTGGATGTTACGGACCCTGGCTCTTTATAGATAGATATAGATATAGATAGATATAGATATAGATATATCATTAAGTTGTATATTTTAAGTATATGCCATTTGCATTTATCAATTACACCTCAACAAAGTTGGAGGGGAAAAGGGACCAATAAAGGGTTCTTTTTTATTGTAACCATGGATACCTACAACAGCAAACAATCCATCGCTAAGATTAAAATTAATTTATTAATTCAGGTATTGATAATTCTCTTTCATCACTGATGATTTTATCTTTCTCTCCCTCTCTCTTCCTCTATGAAATCAATAAAAAATAAACAACAACAATAAAAACAGAGACACTTATGGAAAAGCCTATCACCTCCCCTTGTGACCATGATAATATAGAGTGATTAAGAAAATGTATCTGGAACAGAATCCTAGCCTTACTAACTTTGTAACCTTGGGCATATTACTTAACCTGTCCATTCCTCAGTTTACGCATTTGTAAAATCAGGTACTAATAGTATCTTTCTTCATAAGATGTGGTGAGTAAATAAGAAAATAGATGCAAAACACTTATTATAGTGCCTGCCACATAATAAGAAGTGCTTCTTATTATTTTATCACATTTTGGATTTGATTCTTGATAATGGATTATCTGTAGAGGGCTAAGGGGCAGATGATGTCATCAGATGACTTGGCAATGGGTAACAGGAAAACCAGTGTTTTAATTGGGAACCTATTCCCCAACACTGACAGAGTTATGAAGCTCTAATGTTTGTCCTCCCTTCCTCTCTTGTAGGATTGTTTATTTAAGAAGAGAGAGGATAGGGGAAATTAAGAGGGAAGAAGGGAATATTCTGTATAAAACATGTTTTAATAAAAAACACTGAATCCACAAGTTTGTAAATACATCCTTATTAATCAGCTTCTATAGCACAAAAGATGTTGCTCTAAGTTGTTAAGAAAATATTTTGAGGTAAATAGAAAAATAGAGCAAATTTCTGAACTGTCCAATGAAGGCCAGCAGTTCTTCTTATAGCCAGATGTAGGCAGGAAAGGATATCACAAATACAAATTAGTATATTTGTCCCTTGGAAATGATGGATACATCTGTTTTCACATGCAGGATGGAAAAGACTACATACCCCTCAATGGCACTGGTGGAGCACCCACATTCATGGCCCTGGATCCTGTACAAGAGACCATAAGTAATAATATCATAATGGAAGCCAGGTGAGATCCAATAGCTTCTGTTTCTTTGAGATGATGGTTTGGAAAACTGTTAACAAGGTTAATTGTCTAGAATTAGTAACTGTTTTAAAGGGGGAGCAGTAAATTATATTCCTCTTTTCTCAGAGTTCTGAACCAATTGAAACATAAATAACAGTGCCAATTTAAGGTCTTCATTCCAGCTTTATTGTTGACATAAGCTAGATCAGAGAATTGGTTTATAGGTGCAACCAGATGGATTTTTAACACTCTCCTGGATTAGATTTACCTTAAAATTTCAGAGTTCCCCCTCAGGGAGAATACACTCTTTGCAAGAAAGAAAGTCCTTGAAAAAAGCATGGCAATTAATTCTCTTTACCTGTCTGATAACTAACTTCCCCTTTCGCAATGAGGGGTGGGGTAAGAGATTCAGGTGGAGTGTGCCTTTTACAGAGTGTCCTCCACATGGAAATGAGAGGAGTTAAAAAAAAGTGTCCCTGCCAACAAGGTATATTGAATGATAAGTGGAGAGGGCCCAAGGGCAATTGAGGATAAGACTAAGCACAATTTAATTCACCTCAAGTGAACAATGAATATATTAAATACTTTTGTGTTCAACATTAGTCTTAGCCACTGAGAGGGTCTAAAATAAGACCACTCAAAAAACTGACAATCTATTATTGAGATAAAACGTACATAATTATGAGTAAGTCTAGGGAGTTTTGTCAAGAGGGCATAAATAAGTGGTGTGGATTAATTCATAAGAGTTCAGAGAACAAAGAAATCAACATAAAGTTAAGGCATCAAGTAAGGTCTCCATTTATAGTTGTGTAGTTTGTGTAAAACACAACTCAAGGAGAAAATGGGGACTGAATCCAGCTCATGTTCTGCTTGATAATCCCTATGCCCAACATAGCTTTGTATGCCTAGAGAAAGGGACATCTTTCATAGTTACTTTATCATTCATTGAGGGTACAGGGGAGGATTCTGTCAAAAGGTGGTACCTTTTACTAATCTATACAATATATAGGGTGGTCATGACCTTAGTAGAAGATTCCTAGAGGAGCTGAGGCTAACAGTAAAGCCACCAAGGGTGGAGCAGCATTTACTCAGCAGTTCCCAAATCCATTATATAGTCATTAGCTGAAAAATTCGTATGATTCCAATGATATTGTGCTGGAACTAGGTGCACTACATCTCTATTACTCATGACATATATTTTATTTTTCAACATAAATCTTTTTTTAAAAAGTTTCAGCTATCAAAGTTTTCCATATTTTACACATCACATGGTTCATTCAAGCCTAACCTATTTTGCACTTGATTGGTTGACATTTCCTTTATAACACTATACACATTTAATGACAGCTATAAGTCACAGTGTTTTTCAGAAGGAAGACAATCATGGAGTCATCCTAGCTGGAGTGTTAGGAAATATACCATACACAGTCCTTTAAATTTTACCTTTTTTTAAAGAATGAAGAAACCAAAGCTATGAGGTGTGGAACGTTCTGGGTTCATCTAGAGAAGCACTGAGAATTGAGCTCTGATCCATGAGGCCTTGTCTAGTTGTTTATTCAGCACTCCTGTTGTTGTTCAACCATTGGCTGGACATATTATTTCCAATCATATCTATATATACAAGTATAAAAGCCTAAGCAACCGGCCGACCGGCCGACTGTTTGACTGTCCAACCGGTAGCTATGACTTTCACTGACTACCAGGGGCAGACACTCAATGCAGGAGTGGAAACCACAGGCATGGAAACATGGAACAGACTGATGAATCTCAGAAGGAACAGGGGAGGGGGAGGGTGGCAAGAGATTAACCAAAGATTTTATATGCATACTGGAGGCCCGATGCAGGTCCCTTGGCCTGACCTGCACCCTCTCGCAATCTGAGACCCATCAGGGAATGTCAGAGAGCTGGTTTTGGCCCGATCTCCACAGGCCAGGCCGAGGGACCCCACTGGTGCACAAATTTAATAATGAGGAGGAAGGGAATGCCTTCTCCACTTGGAGATTTTTCTTCAGGAGGGCTGCATGAAGTAAGTCTTGGAGAGGATCAAATTTCATTTTATTAGTTTCATTTTATGCTGGCCATCAATCTATAGTGACATGTGCCTTGGGGAAACCATGCAGTGAAATGAAGGAATGTGCACAGTCAGGGACTCTATAATTATTTGAGGGCTTTGATCCATTCCTGTCTCATGTTACTGGCTGGCACCAAGTAGTTCACCTATAGCTAACTTCTCCATCTATGCACCTGTATGCCCAGACCTGACTCTCAACACTTACCTTTATTTCTGTGCATTCATGGTGAGACCCAGCAGCCATGGTAGAGCATGCCAACAGCCAGGCCCCATTCGGTTACTATCACACCTGTAGTTGACCGTGGTCCTATTTCCTTGCTCTGACCCATACCACTATGTTTGCATATGCAACTGGTCCTTTACACTACACAATATCTACAGTTGGCACCTTCAACTGACTGTATGCATACCACTAGCTATGGGAACCACTGCTGTTGTACTGGTTCCTAGCTGTTTGACCTGAAGGACCCTCAGAGGACCCTAATAACACTTGCAGCCACTGAAGAAGCCCCAAAGCATTTGCAAAAGGCCACACAGTTGTCAATGCTGCTGACTCCAGTGACCTAAGTTAAAGAGACAGTAAGACCTCTGGACCCAGTGCCACCACATATTCCCACACTTGTCATCCTTCACCACTAATCCAGAGTATCATAGCATACTCCAGTGTAAACCCACCCACAGGTGAATGGCTAATTTTTTTAATGAAGTTAGTTCATACATTCTGAAAAATGTGATAGCTTCTTCAAATGTACAGACACACATGCAAGGCTACAAGAATCACTATAATTCAGGGAAACATGAAAATACCAAATCCATAAAGAAAACTTACTTATAATAAATATGTTTCTAAGGAAAAATAAGAAAACTTCTAGAAACTGAATCCAAAGAAATGGGTATCCATGAATAGCTCAAAAAGAATTTGTAATACTAATTCTAAAGATACCCAGAGAGCTACAACAGAGCATAGATTAACAATTTAGCAACCAAGGGAAAAAAAATAAAAAAATAAGTAATAAGTTCAAGAGTGAGATAGAAAACATAAAAAAAGAACAAAACAGAAATTTTGGAACTGAAGAATAAAATGATTGAATTGAAGAATTCAATAGATAGCCTCAATAACAGAATTGCTCAAACAAAAGAAATAACTACTGATATAGAAGACAGATCAATTGAAATTAACCAATCATAACAGAAAAAACGAATGAAAAGTAATGAGGAAAGCATTCAGTACTTTGGAATCTCAGAAAGAGAAAGGAGGAAGAAAGGGGTAGAAAGTTTATTTAAATAAATAATGATGGAGAATGTCACAACTGTGGAAAAAGAAGAGATATGGATATCCACATTTATGAAGCTAAAAAGTCACCTCAACATTTCAATCCAAAATTATCCCCACCAAAACACATTATCATATGGCTGTCTAAAATAAAACACTAAGTAGTCATGTCGCCAAGATGATGACATAGGTCATTCCTGAATTTTCTTGTCCTTAAAGAACAACAACTACTTATGAAAAATATACCAGTTCAGTGTGGCTGAAGTATCACTCTGCCCCACAGAGATCAAGACAAACTGCATTAGAAGGGTAAGAAGAATGGCTATATGCTGACTGCATTGCCCTTCCCCAGGCCACAGCATCACAAAGTGGCAAGGTATTTCCTGAACCTACTATTCCTCCACTGGGGAAAAAAAGCCTGGGAGGACATCCAGCTCCCTCCAGCATTATGGATCACTTTGTGGGAGCCCCTACTCTGGTCTAGCTAAATGGGAATTGTAGGAGAATCAGTGGGGCTAAACCACTGGAAATCTGATTATGATGGAGAAGGGAAGAGAGTCTTGCCACAAGAAGCACTTGGGTCTTGAAACACTAAGTTTCTTCATGCAGAACCCAAGTAGTAGTCCCATCAGGTTTTCTCATCTTCAGAGCCAAGATAGTGGTAGTCTGACCCAGGAACACTGCTGGGTGCATGATTTGGAGCCTCAAATGGGTTTTATTGGATCTGGAGCCTGGTCTGCTTATGCCCAGCCAAGGTACAGATGCTATGGAGAGTAGCTTCCAGTCCCATATGAGCAGAAGGGCTGGCCAGAACATCTGAAAGCTATATAAACCAGCAATGTTCAAGCCAAGAGGCAGGCAGGCAGAGCTGATTGCCCCCACAGCAAAGCAAGTACTGGGCAAGGAAGATTTACCTGCTATACCCAGGCAGAGGAGTTAATTCATTTCCTTACCCACTGATTAGTGTAGCTACCAGCCCCTCCCAACCAGAAATCCTGTTTAAGAAACTTTGGAAGTTGACTGCAGTGAGCCCTCCCCATTCTGCTTATTCAAGAAAGCTTATCATGGCCCTATTTTCTATGAGTGTAGCTCTCAGTGTGTCTGGCAAGTTGGAGGCTGTATACCCCAGAAAGCTCAAGCAGAGAAGTAGAATGTTGGAGCTAATACTCTGCAGAGCAAAGATAGTGGCTCTATTTAGCCAGAGATCTTGGAGCAAGGGTCAACTTGAGTCAAAACCATAAACAGACAGCCTTACCTACATTTGAGCTGCTTCTCTTGCTATACTCATGTAGGGAAACTACTCATACCCCACTAATTACTTTATATACCCTTCAGCTTGCCTGAATAGAGAACATAACCAGAGCACACATGAACCTATAGAGCTAATCCAATAGCTCTTATTACAGTGGCACTTAAAAAAAATAAGAGTATAGCCCATGGCTTTCCCCATATACAAAGAAAACATGGTCACCTTACCTAACAAGACAATTCAGTGTACACTCTTGCCTGATTCAGGTGCCCAAACAATGAGCCATGCAGACCCTGGATCCCATCTGCTACCCTTCCAGACCAGGGAAACTAATTCATGCCTTCACCTAATGGTTTGTGTAGTAACCAGTCCTGACAATACAGTAAACATGAACAGAGAATCCAGGCAAT